AGCACCGGGCGGCGGAGTCCGACCACACCGGTGCGGAGGAGCGTGTGAGGATACTTGCGGACGTCAACGAAGACGTCAAGCGGGCATTTGGTACAATACGAGGAGAGGATCAACATGCATGTGCACCACATGTGCATGCGCTGCTTCCATCTTGTAGGGACGAAGCGGCGGCATCGTCTGCGGCAGTCGACCTCCCCGCTGGAGCAGATCAGCGAGTGCGCCGAGTGGGCCGAGGTGACGGCCGCACTCAAGACGAGCGCCTCGTCCATCCTGCCTAATGAAGGGGAGACACTCATCAACGACGGTAAGCCAGCGAACGAAGGAGGCGACACCGAAACCACACAAAACACCGGTCGCTTTTCTGCGTTTCTGTGTGCAGGCGAGCCTCTTGATGAGTTTGAGGCACTGTGGGCGGAGATGGGCCTCCAACCGATGGGTGTGGGCGTCGCCACGCCAGCACCACCACCGCCGCCATCCAGCAGGGCGCCTGCTGCCTCACCTGATATCATGACGGACACGCGTCGGCCGACGTCCCAAAAAGCTGGGGAGAGTGAGGACACGATGGACGAGGAGGCTCTGAAGGAGAGCGCGGCGGTCCTGCTGGAGAAGGCCTCGTCCAATGCGCTGGCGGAGCTATCGGCGCTCCACACCGAGCAGAGGGGAAAGGAGCCTTCAGCCGACGAAGACGATGTCGTCTCTGTCAGCATCGTTGAAGAAGAGGAGGACGTCTCTTCTCTCATTGTTCTTGACGACGAGCGGGCACAGAAGAAGGACGGCATTGTCCCCAACTCTCTTCACCTTGATGCCCCGCTGCTGCCAGCGTCTTCCGCTGACGCTGCAGAACCGATGGTTCCTGCTGATCATGGTGCTCTCAAGGAGATTGAAGAAAGGTCTTTCAAGGATGAGGAGGGGGACCTCGTCACGACGCTTGATCATGCCGATCTGGTCGCAGATGTCGATATCGCCCCTCCGTTGCCGGTCGTGGCTCTCGCCAGCGACCACCTTGTCGCCCGGCTGCCCAACGGCTTCGACTCCTCCCCCGTCGTGTTTCGCAAGAGCCTCACCGAGTCCCTCGATCAGCTGCAGCACTCCATCGACCGCCTGCATCGCAAGAAGCGGGCAGCGTCCATGCCTCTGGCCGAAGAACAACCACCTGCCCCTGCAGCCCACGCAGCAGCAGCTGTGACACTGTCTGGGGAACCTTTCAAGAGGCCTGTGGGGGTGCTGAAGAAGAGGGAGGAGTCAACCACCGGTGTGGTGCTCTCGCGGCTGGGGGATCGGGAGAGGCCGGTGTCTCTACGGAAGTGGGCGAAAGGGAGGCGGATTGCGAGCCTGGAGGATCTTGACAAGCGGCGACAGCGGCGGAGGAAGCTGCTGGGGCAGAGGAGGCACATGAGCGAGTTATGGGACGTGGACGAGGATGAGGGAGACATGGATATGCGGGGCGTCCCCCCCGCCCCACCCATCCTTGCCGCGGCCAAGATCACCCCCAAAAGGTCGGTGGAGGTGGAGGAGTGTTGCAGCGATGAGGGTGTGCGTGACCGTGACGATGCCGCCGATTTCAAGAGCGTCATCTCGAAGGCCGACCTGCAGTCGAGGGCAGGACACGAGGAAGATGAGGAATCAGATGAAGACGGAGATGAGTTAGAAGCTGCACCTCCAGCCGTTCCTGAAGCTGTGCTCCTGCCTGAGGACAAAGACAATGAGCCCATCTCGCCCCCAGCAGCCGGCTCCAGCAACACCTCCTCACCACGGCGACGCAGACCAGCCGTCGAAGCGGCCTCCACGGCAGACCTGGAGGCGGCTGAAAGGCTTGGCCGCATCAGGGAGTCCCCAAGGACGCGGCGGCTACGAAGCCTTCTCGAACAACAGCAGCAGCAGCAGCAGCAACAGAAGGAGGAGACAACTGTCGATGTCTCAGAGAAGAAGGGGGAGAGGGCGGAGATTGTGCTGGAGCATGGAGATGTGGATGACGTGACCGAGGAGGTGCACGAGGCGGAGGCGGTGTCTCACGAGGACGAGCAGGCCATCGAGCGGCCGTCGGACATCACTATCGCACCACCCCACAGACCACCCGATGCTGCGACCACGGAAGAGCAGCCGCCTGCTGGTGTCGGTGCTGCGACCATTGACGAGGACGACCACGCCACTTCGAGTGACGATGATGAGGAGGGGCGAGAGGACCACTTCGTCTTCACACAACAGGAAGTCGATCTCACCGCAGCAGCCACAACAGCAGCAGCGAGAGAGGAGACAGCGGCAGGAGCAGGCGACGACCACGGCGAGAGGATCGAAGATGATGACCGGCCAGCTGAGACGACACACGATATAGAAGAGATGGTGGAGCACGCCCCGGCCCCAGCCGCAGCGGCAGCGGCTGCAGACAAGGAGGATGGATCAGAATCGCGGCAGCAGCGGCCTGACGAAGGTGAAGGTGAAGGAGACGGCGAGGGCGAGAGCGAGGCTAGGCGTGAGGTGGTGCTGGAAGACCTGGCCGACGTGCTGGGGCAGAACCACCATCACGCAGACGATCTTGAGGGAGGGGAAGAGCTCATCGACATCGACCTAGATGTCTATGTGCAGAGGGAAAGGGAGAAACCACCACCACCAGCAGCAGCGGCAGCAGCAGCAGCAGCACCTTCTGCTGCTGCCGGGGCGGGGGGGTCGATGCCCCCATTGGGGATGCTGCTGTCCAGCCACCCTGACGCAGAAGAGAGAGAGGCCTTCGCAACATCAATCCAGATCGGCAGCGCCGCATCGGTAGCAGGCGATCCCGTCACCAAGCTGGTACGTCAGCCACCCACCCACAGCATGCTCACCCTTTCCTCCATCGTCTGCTCGGTTTGTGTGTGTGCAGACGTCCGCCCACAAGAGCCGGCTGGTTGCGCGAGAGGACTTCATCGACCAGGCCCTTTTTTCACAGTCTCACAAGGCCCCTCAGGCCCCCGATGAGCCCAATAAGGTAGCGACAGAGACCGAAGAGAACGACGTTGCGGCATTGCGCGAGCTGAGACACCAGTATGAAGACCAGCATGGGCAGCAAGATGGCAGTGACCGTCACCACCATGGGATTGCCGCCATCACCACAGAGGAAGAGGACGAAGAGTCGGAGGAGGCGGATCATGCGGCGCACGCTGAGCGTTTCCACTCCTACGACGACCTGGACCACACGGCCATGGCGGCCGTCTGGGGCGAGGTCCAGCAGATATCGGACGACTACCAAGCACAGGAGCAGAAGCACACCGGTAACCCTTCCCCCTTCACACACACACACACACACAGAGAGAGAGAGAGAGAGAGACTGACTTGGCCATGCACCCAGGCCATTCGCCGCTTTTGCTGCCCAATCATGCAGGCACGATCCACGAGCCGGCCGGCACGCCAGCAGTGAGCTACGAAGAGGCGGCCGCCTTCTTCTTTGAGAGGAGTGGTGCGGTCGACACCCTGCTGTCAGCCGGGCTGCAGAAGTTCTGTGACGACCGGACGGGCGGCAGGGATGGGGATACGGAGGAGCGGCAGCAGCAGGGGAGCTGCCTGTGCGTGTCGGCACCGAGGGCACCCACACACGTGCCAGGTCTGCGCCCCATGGGGCGGTGATGAGGCGAGCGCATTCATGACCTCTCTCTCTCTCTCTCTGTGTGTGTGTGTGTGTGTGTAGGACTGTCTAGCGCCTTAGAGAAGGAGAGGGACAGTGTGTTCGCGGCGATGGGCTCCGGCATGGACGACACACAGCCGATGCACGGCCGCCTGCTGCAGACCATCTACAAGAAGCTCACGCGGAACAAGGTGGACGCGCCGCGCCTCGGCCGCCACTGGGAGGTGGTGGGGTTCCAGGGTGCCGACCCTGCCACCGACCTCCGCAGTGTGGGCGTGTTCGGGCTGGTGCAGCTGCTGGCCTTCATGCAGTGCTTCCCTGACCTCGCACTCAAGATATACACGTGAGCACATGGAGCGTGTGTTCGTGTGTCCTTGGATGGTGGGTGTGTTTGGGGGTGGTGCGTAGGCTGTCTCGTGACGAGTATCAGGCCTTCCCTTTTGCAGCGGCGTCGCTCAACTTCACAAAGGTCGCCGCGGACGCCTTCTGCAGCGGATGGTGCGCGGGAATGAGACACACACACCCCATGTGTGTTGACGTCCATTTGTGTGTGAGTCGATAGGCTGTCGGGCATATGCAGCAGGGAGAGGTGTGTGGTGTCGGTGCTGCACCGCGCCCACGCGGCCGTGTTCTTCGCCTTCTATGAGGCGTGGCGGAGGGAGAAGCTGAATATATTGGAGTTTGGCAGAGTCAAGAAGGTGTGTATATGCCTGTAAGGGGGAGACACACATCATGATGCGCGGCTCTCTCTGTGGGGTGTGTGTGTGTGTGTGTGTGTAGGAGATCAGCGATGAGCTGGCAAGGCGGCCGCAGAGACTCCTAAACGCTCTCAAGGTGGGCAGCCACCAGCCCCCCCCCCCCCCCCC